TGTATATTTTTTAAGTTAAAACTTTTCTATGGGAGTTTAATGGTAATCTGCACTATTTTCTTTTTTTGTTCTTTTACATCACTTCATGCATATATTAGGTAGAAACATTTATTAAGGTGCTTTTATAAATATTTTTTATATGTTAATTTATTAAGGGCATTTAATTGTTAAAATATCTCATTTTTTAAATTCTTTACACTATAGTAATTAGAAATAAAATTGAAATAAAAATTTTTAATATTTTTTGAAGAATGAAAAATGGCAACTAGTTTAGATTATCCTTATTTGAGAATAGAACACACTTTTATTGTCAATAATTTAAAAGAATAAGGATTTATGTATACATAAATCTTATATACTATATTTATATAAAATATTGACCATTTATTTTTTTTACTTTTAATAATTAAAATTTATCACATTTTTTATATTAAAAAATAATTATCTTTAATAAATATAATAAAAAATAAATAAATATCAACCATTAAAAATAAATGTATGAATAATTAAAATTTTATATAAATATAATATGTAAAACTTATATATAAATGAATTCTTACTCAATTTAAAATAATAAGTTGGCAAGGTTCTTAATTATCCTTATTTTTAGAATCTCACTAATAGGTGGCCTTATCTGAAAAAAATTATAATAAATAAACTTAATTAAGAATTAAATAAAAGTTCCATTAAAAAATTAAATAAAAGATCGTGACCCATTTTTTTTCATATAAAAAAGGTCCTGACATTTTGTTATTCTTTTTCATTTAAATAAAACTTTGATATGCCTTTTAGTATATAAAAAAAATTGATAATAGTAAAGCAGCAAAACAGCATCGGGAGTCGGGACCGTCCTCGTCACAGCCTTTAAAGCCCACGCATGACATTTTCCATGCCGTACTCTTAACTTTAATAGGATGGCCGAAACAGGAGCCCACTGGAGTTCTGGCCAGAAAATGGTGTCTACCAACCTGGAATTCAAGGCGTCCAAGCTAAGAAACTTAGGACAGGTTCGGCTCTTAAAGAACCTGAAAAAGGTCTTTGAGCTATGACACTTGCATTTAATTTTTTTTTTTTTTCGATGTCTGGTCTGGGTAAGAATTGAATTTCATACTTTTAATTTATAGTATAAAAAAATTTTTATAAAGAAAAAATAGTCACCAAATTATAAGAACGTTCAAGCTAGATACTTAGGACAGGTTTGGCTCTTAAGGAACCTGAAAAAGGTTTCTCTCATAGTCTGTGAGCTATGACTTGCATTTAAAAGAATTTTTTTTTTTTAATGTCTAGGTAAGATTTGAATTTCATATTCTTAATTTATAGTATATATTTTTTTGTATAAAAAAAAAATCACCAAACCATAAGAACGTCCAAGCTAGACTTAGGACAGGTTTGGCTCTTAAGGAACCTGAAAAAGGTTTCTCTGATATATAGTCTGTGGGCTATGACTTGCATTTAAAAGAAAACATTTCAGTAGCATTGGTATAACCAATTACAGATGAGTATAATTGATCGATTTGTATACCTGAAAGTACTTTCCATTACAAGAAATGCTTTCGAGACAAACTAATCGATTATAAGTAAAAAAAAATCTAGTTAAATCTCTGTCAATATATTATGTTTAAAGATAATCGGTTAAATCACTTTATAATCAATAATTTTTTTGCATAAAGTTTTGGCTCAGAATTTATAAAATCCTAAATCAAATTGATAATTTTGTTAGATCAATTTTTTTTTAAAAAAAATTAAAAAATTATTCAAACTAATTAGCATACTTTTAGAACCAACGTATATAGCATATAATATCACAAATTTATCGTTTGTTCATACAATTGAAATATAAAGAGAGAAGGTTTCTAGATGGCCAGATGGCTATGGTTGGCATGTGCTAAATGGTGGGGAATTACCGTAACAATTGACAAAGATTGCTGAAAACCTTTGAGAATTTTAGGGCAAACTAAGACTCATGCACCACAGAAGGTTGGGACTGCATCTGGAACATGGTGGTATGGTCTGTGTGGCTCGCTTGAAACCAAAAGACTTTCCATAATTTAAAGGTGAATAGGGGTAAGCTATTCAAACTTATTCAAATGAGATCTTTTGCATGGATTAAAGCAAGGAAAGCTAGGTATTACTTAATTTTTTCAGACTGGTTACTTGATCTTATTGCTTGCCTTACTATTAATTGTGGTGGGAAAAAATAGTTTCAGAAGAATAGGTCTGAAAGAGGGGATTAACAGGTTTCTGAGATAGCATATAATATCACAAATTTATCATTTGTCCATGGAAACCAACCATGAAGAGATAAGGTATGTAGGGACAGGCTTTAAAATCATTTATCTTATTGTTAGGTAGAGTCTTAAAGTGCTTTCCTCATTGTCCATGGCTTGTTTGGTTAGTCATAAACCTAGAAATAATTTTAGGGGATGTTAACAATTAATACGTGGGCGGCTTGTTCCGTGGGGAAAAAGAATCTTAAAAGAATAAAAACATATATATATTGATATAGAATTCTCTAGGTTAATATATATATATATATATATATATTATAATATATTTATTAAAAATATTATTTTTTATTTTAAATTAAAGGTAAAAAAATTTAAAATTATAAATTTTAATAATTGAATTGATAAATACTAGTAAATATATTAAACTAAAAGGTATATTAATTATTTTTTTATAAGAAAAAGGTTGACATAAATTTTTTTGATACATCAAATGATAAACTATATAATATTGAATAACCTCCTCTCCCAAACATCTCCTCCATTCATTTCAAAATTTGATCTTAAAATTTTCAATTTGAAAACTCAAGTTTTTACCCACTATGATATTTCTTAAGATATATATAGAGAGAGTGGCTGTTATAATTGATTAGATAAGGAGTGCACATGGTTACATTGATATATATTTTTTTAGCACTAACTTTTTGATATCTAAAGTTATATTAAATCTCGATTAATTCAAAATTGAGTTGTGTAGAAATCAGTAAGAGAGAAATTCTTTTAATGCATGTTTCTTTATTTACAAAATTTAAACTTGAAATCTTATTTAAAAGGAATCAAACACATTTTACTCAAACCAATAGTTCATTAGTAGTTACATTGATATATATAGCTAGTTATAAAAGCAATGTAATCAATTATATGTCTCAAATCTTTCTTTTTTTTTTTTGGGGGTAACTTCTATCCGGAAGGACTTTCCTCAATATATATGGTATATTCGATCATATTCCATTTAATCATTGATTTTTATTTCAAGACTAAGTCAAGTGTAATTCCCTGAAATTGTTTCCAGTTTCATAATAAACCAAACACGCCCTTAGAATCTCTCCCGTGGAAGACATAATTCAGTTATTGCTTTGTTTGGCAAAATTTAAATGCACAAAATAATACTACATCAAACTGTGGATTTTCAACTTAATAGACAGGCAATTTTTTTGCCAGTCCGGCTGTGGAATTATCATTATTAATTTATCATGCCCTTAATCAGCAATAAATTTTTTAGTAGTATTTTTGTAATTTCCTGCTTCCAAGTAGAAACATATAAAATGCCATCATATAATCTCCATTTCATCAAAAATTGTCTACCTTAACATCACCAAAAGTACGTCCAATGGATATAATAAAAACTAGCAAATTACAAAAATAATATGAACTAACGAATTTAAGGACAAAAATGATAAAAATAAAAGTCAAAGAATCAAAATAACTTCAATTAAAAAGTTAAGAATATCAAACAAATCTTTTGCAAAAGTTTAAGGGCGCCATGCTCCTTCTATTCTAGCCCCCTTGACTCCGTCAATGTTTCTTGTTGAAGTGGGTTGTACATTCCGATTATGGCTTCAGCATAATACGTAATAACTTTTCAATTAGCCTTTGGGGTCTCTATTCCTTCTAAAATCCTATAGGATTTTAGCAAGAAACCAAAAGGTAGCGACTAGATTTCCTCTGAATCCTACAAAACAAGGAGAAGCATTAGAGTCTATATAGCCAAAAATTGAAATTAGTCTCTGTTTTGCATTTTGATATATAGCACTACTAAAATTCCAACCTTCAGCAACATGGGAGCATGTTGCTAAAAGTGCTTGTCACGTAAGTAAAAAGCCTTTCGGCAACATAGCTTTTGTTGCTGAAAGCTTTGGTGACTGATCCATTAGCAACAAGGGGTATGTTGCTGATATCAGCAACATACCCCTTGTTGCTAAAAGAACACTTTCAGAAACGTGATTTATATTGGTAATATTCTTTGTCGAATTTTGATGATCAATGGTGGAGTTTATTCGACCGATGGTGGAGTTTATTTGACCATTTTCAGCAATAAAAGCCACGTTGCTAAAACTATATTTTTAGTAACATGGCTCATGTTGCTGAAAGTTTAGAGGAAATGGTGGTTTTCCATAAGGTGGTTTTCCCTTTTCCATTTTCAACAACAAGAGCTACGTTACTGAAAGTTCAATAATAGTGCATCCCCTAATTTTCAGCAACGTATGCTTTGTTGCTGATATTTATTTGCATACTTCCACCCATATTTTCAGCAACCTACCCATTGTTGCTAATGTTTATTCTAAATATAGTCCCACACACATTTTTAGCAACATATCATTTGTTGGTGATACATTAAAATACATGATAAAAAAAATTATACCTACCAAAATTCTAAACACATATTTTTTATTTTAATTTTTATGATAATAAATATATTACATTAAGTTTATACTATATGTATTCAATTTAATAATATTACAATATTTAAATATAAAATTCACTTTTTTTATAATCACCAAATATTAAATATTTTGATATCTCACA